AGGCATGCACCACTGCACCTGGCTAAACAATTGGATCTTTACACATATACCAAGAACGTTTCTTTTCATGACTGAATTATGTGCCAACTTCAACAGAAATTCCAGATTTCAACTTGATCATATTAATTAGAGCTCTTCTGCCAGAAGGGCTGGAAAACACTGGTTAGTTCACTTTATTATTATTATTTTTTCTCATAATCCTGCCTCCTTCCCTCACCTTTCTTTCCCTCCTCCCCATTTTCGTCCTCCAGCTTTTCCCTCCCATCTCAAGGAGGTCCTTCCCTGTGGCTGTCCAGACATAGTCTGAGCCTAGGTCACTTAATTCTTATAAATCACTTCTATTTTAAAACTTATTCTTGAAAGGCAAACAATAGCCCCTGGCTCCCTGTGCTTGTCTGTAGTCCCAGAGACTCAAGAGGCTGAGGCAGGAGGACAGCCTTAGCAATGTACTGAGGCCTTAAGCAATTTAGTGAGGCCCTGTCTCAAAATAAAAAAATTAAAAGGACTGGGGCTATAGCTCAGGGGTAAGACACCCCTGAGTTGAATCCACAGAACCAAAAAAAAAAAAAAAAAAAGATTTTGAAGTATTATTGTTCACTTCCCATTTTAAGCTAATTAAATGCCATGTTTTTGTCCATTAAATAAAAATATTTTACTTAGGTAAAACAATCCATAAAACCTGACAAAAAAAAAGGATCCCCCCATTCTCAGAAATAATGGTGACAATTTTTGACAATCATTTTTCCTGCCTTTTTGCCCTCATTTTTCCTCTAATATAAGTTTGTTCTATCTTGTTTTGTCTGAATTGAGGTTTTGGTCTGTCCATTGGTCTCTTCATATATCTTTTCTCAAAAACTGGTTATCTGAGGGCCAATTCTCAAACTTGCCTGAGACTGAAGAGAAAACTGAAGAGATTTAAAAATGCCCTTGGAGACTGAGCTATTGCAGGTAGAACAGCTCAACTCAAGGCTTACGTGAAACTTGCAAATGAGAATCTCAAGTTCTATAGAAACATGTTTACATCTATTAAATGTGTTTTTGGAAGTCATTGATGTATAGAAACAGCTCAAGATGGTTTTCCTCCTGGGTAGTAAATATAAGACTATTGGGAGTTAAAATTTGAGTTAATGTGGGTCATTCTATATGCAAAGAATGCCAAAAATTTGCAGTGTGTTTTGATGAAAACAAAACAAAACAAAACCATGGGGGTTGTGGGAAAGAATGTAAAACCCTCCACACCTTGCTTGGATTTTCTGAAAAAGTTAAAAAAAAAAAAAAAGAATTCTTGCACTGAACCCTTGCACAATGCTCTACTTCCATCTTGAATATCGATATTTTCTGTACTTGGAAATATATTTTTGCTTCCTTAACTGTTAACCTGCTGCGCGCTGGGTACTGGCATCTGGCCTCATCCCTCCACAAATCTTTCCCCCTTCTCTTCCTGCTAACATTTAAGTACCAGTTTTTATCCCTGAAAAAGATGAGGAAAATAGATGAACTCTATGTTACAAGAAGGGTTAAATAAGATTAAGTAAGAGATGGCACATAACAGTTAAACAGTTAATTCGTAGCTACCATTACCACGTAATTAGCTAAAATCTATTTTGCATTTAATTTTCTCCAGGTGCTGCCATAATTAGCTGAGTGAAAGATGAACTGTGTTTTGAAAATAAAGCATGCTGTTGGAGTCTGAGGAATAGAGGCCCAAACTGAGCCCTCTATGCCTCCAGGTGTCAGATATTTGAAAGGGAAATGGTAGTAGTCTCAATACAGCAGGAAAGCAAGAGGGGTCCCCCCAGGGCTCTAGGTTATAATAAAATAGGTACAAATTCCCTTTCCATCCTTTCTCACTGCCCAGCAACTGGTGCGAGGACCATATCCCACACACTGAAAATTCAGCTTATCTTGTACAATCTGTGTGGTTAATAATGGTTGCTGGTCTGTGTGGTTCTGGGGGTGGGGAATAGATGAACTTTGTTTTCATCTATTTTTAGCTGATGAAAGAATTTGAGGGATGGAGGTAGCAGGGCTCACCTTCGTGGCAAAGTCAGAGATCTTTTCTGAAAAGCTAATGGCCACGTAGACAGACCCCTGGATAGCAACGCTTTGTTCTAGATCTCGGTTCACATTCTCAGGACCTTGATTAACAGAACACAAGGGGTGACCTAATGAGTTGATCCACAGACCAAACCCTTGGGATAGTGTATGGAGCTGGAAGGCCAATTTGTTACTGGATACCATAAGAACTGGACATTCAGGGGCGGTAACCATACTTCTTTCTATTAAGAGTCATGCACTAGGCAAGGACATTCAACTCATCCAGGAGTAGTTTGTGCCTAACCTCTAAACCGTGGGATTGAGTTGAAGTTATTAATGAGGGAGAGGTGGAGACAGGGTGGACTAGCCACCTTGTCACCAAAGATAGTAGGTTATCATCTACAGAGACAGAGACCCCAGGCTTTGCTTCAGTAATCCCATCCCATCTCCAGATGTACTTCTATTGGTTTCCTAAGGCAACTTAATGAAGTACCATAAAACAAGTGGCTTAAAACAATTGAAATTTATTATCTCACAGTTCTGCAAGCCAGAAGTCTGAAGGGCAAGGTATACACAGGATTGCACTTTGAAACCTACAGGGGAGTGTCCTTCCTTGTCCTTCCTAGCTTTGAGGTTGACGGCAGTCCTTATGTGCTTTGGTTTGTGGATGTATCACTCCTATTTCTGTGAGCACATGGCTGTTTTCTTATTGTGTGTCTCTCACTTCTTCTTGTAAGGACACTGGTCCTATTGGTTTAAGGGTCTACCCTACTCTAGGATGACCTTACTGTACTGAACTGATTACATCTGCAGCAACCCCATTTCCAAATAAGGTCACATTCTCAAGCAGTGGGATTAGGACTTCAGTGTATCTTTGGGGGCCACACAATGTGATCTATAAAAGTATTTTTTGAACTTTTCTTTGAGCTGTGTGAATTTTTGTACTAGGAAGTCACCAAGCATTATGTATTCATTGGTCTTATTCTTTGATGATGTCAAGAAAATACTAGACTTATTTTTAGCTGAGATAGTAATTTTTGATAACTTGTTAGAAGCAGAGACTGATACACAGTTCTGGAGTATTTACTAGGAGATTTTTAATCAGCTTTGAGTCTCTGTGACCAAAATACCCAAAAAGACCAACTTAGAGGAGAAAAATTTTATTTTGGCTGATGTTTTCAGAGTTGTAGTTCATGTTGGCTGCTCTAATGCTCTGGGCCAAGGTGAGGCAGAACATCAAGGTGGAAAGGCAAGGTGGTGGAGAGCTGGCTATGTCCTTCAAGAAGGCCAGGAAACAGAGAGAGGGAAGGGGCAGCAAGAAAGAGGAATCCTTCCAGGATACATCCCTCCAATATTCCTTCTCCAGCTATATCCCACCTGTCTACAGTGAGCACTCAGTCTACTCAAACTATGAAGGATGACAGAGTGTGGTGACAGCCTCTTGAGAGGCCAAGGCAGGAGTACTGGGAGTTCAAAGCCAGCCTCAACAACTTAGCAAGACTTGGTCTAAAAATAAATTTTAAAAAGGGCTGGGGACCTGGCTTAGTGTTTAAGTGTGCCTGGGTTCAATCCCTGGCACCTAAAACAAACAAAAATACCCCATAAAACCCAAAACCTAAGAAGGATGAATTAGGTTAAAACTCTCATAATCCAACCATTTAGCTTCTGAATATTCTTGCATTAATGCAGGAGCTTTGGGGACATCTCATATCCAAACAATAATGCTTATTAATGAACTTTAGCTTATAGATGATAATTTGAAAATTGGCCTTTATAATCTTAAAAAAAGTCTTTTGGCTTTTCAGGACTATCTTATCTCTATCCTATTTATCCCCTCCACTCCATTTCCTTCCTTCTCCTATGACCACCTTTGGTAAGGATGCTACACACATAATTTTTGAGATTTTTTAAAAATTGAGGCATAATTTTACATACAATAAAACAGAATGGCATATGACTTTACGCCTTTTTTAAAACACAAGACTTCGTAATTTGGTCTCCATTTTATTTTTCTAGATTAATTTGCTTTTCCTCTCATCTACCAACATAAGCTTTACAGAGCTGTCCCTCATTCACATTCTCTAAAGTGCTGTGTATTTCAAGGTAATTTTTCCTGGGCTGGAATGGATTTAGCTGGCATAAAGAGTCTCTTTCAAGACCCAGCTACTTCTTTTAAGTTTCCCCTCAACACTCTTAGAGAATGCAGCTCTTTTGAAACGTTTAAAAATATATATTTATTTTTTAGTTGCAGTTGGACACGATACCTTTATTTTAATCATTTTTATGTGATGCTGAGGATCGAACCTGGTGCCTTATGCATACTAGGCAAACACTTTACCACTGAGCCACAACCTCAACCCCTATTTTGAGACATTTTATATGGTTCTTTTTCATGTTCAGTTATTTTTTAGTACATATGCATTCCTTCTGCAAGTCAGAGTTGGGGTGTGGTGTACCTTGTGTTTCTGCAATCCAAGTGTGTATCCCAAAGAGCGCTCGCGCTCTCTCTCTCTCTCTCTCTCTCTCTCTTATATATATATATATAAATATTTACGGTCAATAAATGACAATCATTATGCATATATGTGTTTCAGAGTTTTCACAGTGCATCCACAGGATTTAATCCTAGTTCCATAAAACAGTAATTACACCGCCCTAGCACTTCTTCTGAGTGTGGAGACACAGGCTTAGTGTGTTGCCCCACGCCGCCGAAAAGGAACTGGAGTTGGTCTTCGGACTACAAGTTCTTGGCTTTAGCCACCTCTTAGCTCCTGCAGGCCAGCGCGACTTGACGCCACGACTTGAATCTGGTCCAGGTGCAGGCATGCTACAGGCCTCGCGGGGCCTGAACCGGGCCGGGATTGCGTCCCAGACGGCAGCGGGGCAAAGCCTCGATGATTGGTTGAGGCCGGCAGCCAATAGCCCTGCTAGGGGCGCGTGCGGGCCAATCGCAGGCCGGAGGGGGCGGGTCCTCCCGCGCTCAGGATGGCGCGAGCTGAGTAGCGGCTCGGAGGAAGCTCTCTGGAAGCTGTGGCCGGCCGACCCGCTTCCGCGCCCTCCCGCGACCCCATTGCGACCGCGCTGGCACCGAGGGCGGCCGGTGACGCGGAGGCGGCACGTGTGCCACGCCCGTCTGCGGCCGCGCTAGGGTACCGGGCCTGGCTCGCCCGCTGGCCGGCGTCGCCCGCGGTTGCCACCTGTGGAGGGCGCGGCTGCCCTGCGGGTCCGCGGGCCAGCGGAGGGGGCTCGGCGACATGAGTCCCGCGCTGCAGGACCCGCTGCAACCCGGTAAGGCGCGGCGCCCCGCCCCGGCGGCCTCTAGCCGCGTGCCTCTGCGCCCACGCCGGCCCCGGCCAGGACTTTACGCCGTGGCGTAGGCCGCTTGCCGTCCCCAGGAGCGCCGCCAACTTGGCTCTCGCGTGTGCGCGGACCTCGCGGGCTCCAGGGAGGCCAGAGCCGCTGCGGGAACCCCAGGTCTCCAGGCCCCCAGGGCCAGACCTGCTGTCTGTCTCGGCTCTTCTGTCTCTCTCTTTTTCTCTTTTTTTTTTTGCGGGGCTGGGTATTGGACTCCGGGCCCTCCTGCTGAGGCTGGTTTATGAATTTGCGATCCTCCTGCCTCAGCCTCCGAGTCACTGGGAACGTAGGCACGAGCCACTTCGTCTGTTTTAAACATTTAAGTTTTGGCTGGTGTTGCAGATCTGAGACGAGGGGCTCCCAGGGGTTTAAATAGCCCCTTTGGGCCCACTCTGGGACTCAGGGCGGGGAGTGGCACTCTCAAGTATCGTGATGTTGCTGGCTCTGGGGTCAACAATGAGAAAATGCTAGATACGCACAAGAACAGACCACAGTTTCAGTCTTGTAAGGAACTCTGGGTCTCATAATTTGTGGGCAAAAACATTATAGAAATGTGTGGTAGGAGACGTAGAAACAAGAGAATTAGTAAGAAGGACAGAGAAGTAACTGTTTTATGACGCGAGGATGTTCAGCTCCAGGATGAGTACTGAATGAATAATCCAGAAGGAAGTTTATCCGAGGGTAGCTAATGACTTCGGGTAGATGGTGACTTCGGCAGGACTAAGGTCCTGATAAATGGACCTAGTAGAAATGTCGTTGAAACGAAGGGGACTGTGATTGAGAAACACAGCACTGATGCTTTAAAATTAGACCTGTCTCCAGCTGGCACTCTTGTAATCCCAGCAACTTGGCAGGAGGATTGCAAGTTCAAGACCAGTCTCAGCAACTTAGTGAGACATTCAGCAACTAAGCAGCACTGTCTCAAATAAAAAATAATTAAGGTTGGGAATGTAGTACAGTGGTAAAATGCGCCTGGGTTCAGTCCCTGATACCAAAAACAAAACAGAAAGATCTTTCTGAAAGGGGTATCATAGTTATTTTAATAATCTCATACTCATGGCTTTGGGCTTCTTCCTCATTTATTTTAAAAAAGGAAGTAGTATTACTCCTTAAGCTGAATGTAGGTAATAGTAGCAGCAGTATGTCTCTGAATATTTAGAATACTTTGAACAGTGAGTGAGTTTTTTTTTTTTTTTTAATACAGAAAATGACAGGAAAATTGTTGGGTGGATCTAGCCCAGTCCCCTCACTTTATTGCCTTCTGCTATTGAGCACCCTCAAGTTTAACCAAGCATAGGGCCCTTAAAGAGCTCTGAGTCAGGACTGTGGGCTAGAAAACACCTTTCAGGTATTCCTGCTTCTCTGTATGTTAGGATTCCAATTAGATTTTAACTTCCTAAAGCCCTTAGCCACTTACTTGTGTCCAGTTCTTTGGAACACTTGCTGTAACTCAAAATATTAGCTAAAAAATAAAATGTTAATGACAGAAAAAAGAAACCCAATAAAATGCATTGGCTAGATCATAAAATACTGTGTGATCTCTTGGGCTGACATTTCTTTCTTTCTTTCTTTTTTTTTTTTGCTTGTAGATGGAGACAATATCTTTATTGATTTATTTATTTTTATATGATGCCAGGATCGAACCCAGTGCCTCACGTATTTAAGGCAAGCGTTCCACTACTATGCTACAACCCAACCCCCAAGGACATTTCTTAGGACTCTCTGCTCTGCATTAGTAATATAAATCACATACATACATTAAGCATAAAAATATTTCTGAGATAGTGCTAGAACCAGTTAAGTGGGGGAACTGCAATACTATATTCCTATATTTACTGTGAAAGGAATTTGGAAGAATCTGTTCTGTTTAGGACCTGGCTAGTCCTGAAATGTACAGAGTGTTCTAGACTTAATTGCAGATAAATTATTACTTTCTGTTGGTGGTAGTTCTTCATGGAAGAGCAGCATTCCAATGAATAGTCACTCTGCCAAGGGAAAGTTGTTCAGGGGACTTAAGAACTTAAAAGAAGGTTAGAAACTGGAGAGTTAGAATGCTAATTAGACACCAGTGAAACAACCTTCCACTGGAAAAGCTAAGCTTGGAATACTGAAGAACAAGGACAGTGGACCAACAACTCTTAGGAGGAAGTCTGATTTTCTCTCAGTGGGAAATCTTACATCTTTAAAGGAAAAATAAGTATGTGATTAATGTAGAAGCCTGTTGCTGTTGAGACAGGAATGGCATATTTTCAGGTTTGGAAATGAACATTAATCTGGCAGAAAGAAGCCAATACTCAGTGCTGACAATTAAATGGCAATAACACTTTAACCTATAATATATCCAACTGAAATTCCTTTTTTAAAATTCCTTTTTTGAATTCACCCTGAAATGAGACCCTGTGAGTTTAAGTGGAGATTGTTTCACATCTGAAATAGGACCAGCCTGCTTTCTTCTTGGTTTGGTGCTTCACCTAAGCTGTAGAGTTATAGTGCATCTTTTATGAGCTTCACATATTCCTCCTTATTGTGAATTATAAACTATCCTGAACTCTTCCTCCAAATCTTTTTTTTCTTTTACTCTTTATTTTTACTTATTGTAGCTCAGTGGTAGAGCACTTGCCTAACATGTGTGAGGCACTGGGTTCAATCCTCAGCACCACATAACAATAAATAAAATAAAGATATTGTTTTCTTTTTTGAATTTTTTAATATTTTATTTATCGGCGGACACAACATCTTTGTTTGTATGTGGTGCTGAGGATCGAACCTGGGCCGCATGCATGCCAGGCGAGCATGCTACCGCTTGAGCCACATCCCCAGCCCTAAAGGTATTGTTTTCATCTACCACCACCAACACAAAAAAATCTAAAAAGGTGTTTTTTGTTTTTGTTTTTTTTTAATTTTGAGACAGGATCTTGCTAAATTCCTGGGCTTGAATTTGGGATCCTCCTGCCTCAGCCTCCTGGGATTACAGGCATTCACCACCACACCTGGTTTATCTTTCATTCTTTTTTGGGGGTGGTAGGGTGGGTACTGGGGATTGAACTTAGGGGCACTTAACCACTGAGCCATATCCCTAGCCCTTTTCTTTTTGGTATTTTATTTAGAGACATGGTCTCATTTGAGTTGCTTACTGCCTTGCTATTGTTGAGGCTGGCTTTGAACTGAGGATCCTCCTGCCTCACCCTCCTCAGCTGCTGGGATTATAGATGTGCCACTGTGCCTGGGTTATCTTTCATTTTTCAAAGTTAGATTTTGCTTTCTTTAAAGGAGGTATGAAGAAAACACTTCAGGATGAGATTGAAGCCATTCTGAGGAAGAGGATTATGGTGCTTGATGGCGGAATGGGGACCATGATCCAGCGGTACAAGCTAAGTGAAGAAAAGTTCCAAGGTCAAGAATTTAAAGACCATGCCAAACCACTGAAAGGCAACAATGATATTTTAAGTATAACTCAACCTGATATCATTTACCAAATCCATAAGGTAATTTTTCTAGCTTCTTAACATTCTCTCAAACTGTTTCATGTACCGAGTCAGAACACTCCTGTGTGCTCTGGAGAATACAGAAGAAAGATGATTTATTAAGAAAGCTGGTGTGGGATAGAAAATAAAGTGTTTTAGTGTTTAGTGTTTGGGATAAACAGATAAGTAGTTGGTTTTATGCTTTTGAGGCAAACTCCAGTGAAGAACCCTAAAATTCTGGCAAATTAATGGTTCACTACCTTGTTTTAAGTTACTGACACAGCTCTTAAGAAGAAATCTCAAAAGATGGTATCTTAGTTGATTTGGGCTGCTGTGATAAGTTAGACTGGAAGGCTTAAACAACTATATTCTTTTTTTTTTTTACAGTTCTTGGGATTGAATTGCCAGCAGATTTGGTGCCTGCTATGGGCCCTCTTCCTATTCACAGATAACCATCTTCTCATTGTGTCCTCACATGGTGGACAGCAGAAAGAGAAAGCAAAGTCTGTGTCTTATAAGAGCAGCTATGTTGTAAATATTGGTGTACCCCTAAGAGTCACCTGTTAAATCCTAATGCCCAATGTGATGGTGGTAAGAGGCGCCCTGTTAATAGAGGGAGCTCATTCAACTCTTCCATGTGAAGGCACAGTAGGAAGATATCCTCTGTGAACCAGGAAGCAGGTCCTCACCCATTACAAAATCTCAAGGCATAACTACCATTCATGTATTCTAGTTGATTTTTCATCTAATTTTCTAGTGAGGCATGATAATGCAGGCTTGTAGTCCCAGTGACTTGGGAGGCTAAGGCAGGAGGATTACAAGGTCAAGGCTAGCTTTAGCAACTTGAAGCCCTTAGTAAAGTAAGACCATGTCTCAAACGGGCTGGGGTAGTAGCTTGGTGGTATAGTACTCTATGGTTTGAACCATGATACCAAACAAAATAAACAAAATCCCTAAAACATTTTTTCTACTTTTCTGCACTTGGATTTTTAAAAATTAAGTTGAATTTTATTGCTTCATACTATTTTATAATTTGTAGTTTTTTCTTATATACCATTAGCATTAAATGTTCTAAAACATGGCTTTATAATTTCATAGTAACCTGTTTGCTTAATTAATCTGTTATTCATAGGCATTAAAGTTTTTCATTTTTCTTTTTCTTTGTTAAAAAATTAAATTTTAAAATTCATTCTTACACAACAAAACCCAGTGATAAGAATAAATTCCCATCAATTACTCCACATTGCTATTTTTTTCCCCCAGAGATAACCACTCTTAGTTTCTCTGTCTTTTCAGATCCTTGTGTTATATGTTTATACATTTATTTATGTATGTGTAGGAACTGTTAGTACACATGTGTTTTAGTAGTATCATCTTTACATATTATTCTGTTTTGGTTTTCTTTTTTTTGATAGTGGGGATTGAACCCAAGGGAACTCTGTCTACTACTGAACTACATCCCCAGCCCTTTTTATTTTGAGACAGATTCTCCCTAAGTTGCTTAGGCTGACCTCAAATCTGTGATCTTCTTGCCTTAGCTTCCCAAGTTGCTAGAATTAAATGTGTGTGCCACCACGCCTAGCTTTATTTTGTTTTTCTATTGAACAATACTTTGAAAGATCTTCATATGTAGGATATGGAGATTTTTAAAAAGCTTTATTTTTTTAGCTGTCACATGGCTGGTAATAAAATGAATATATAATTTATTTAGCTGTCTTCCTGTTGACAGTATTTAGGGTGTTTGTGACTTACAGTTGTTACATTTGTGTTTATGTTGTTTTTCATTGCCTAGCTTTTTTGCAAACATTGTTCATCACCTTTGAAGGATTGAATTTACTTATTGTTGGAAAATCAGGGGGATTGAGAGATTCTAGGGCATTAGATTGAGATTGAATTCGTATCCAAAGAGTGAAATCAGGAAGATGGGTTTCAAACAGGGTGAACAAACTGTATGGTATTAGAGTCCTTAAGGTTCCAGTAAGGGTGCAGGTTTGGGCCAGAGAGAATAGGAGATGTGGATTAAAAAGAGGGTCTGAATTTGAGTTCAGTTGGTGCAGTTTTCATTGGGAATCGGGTGCTGAAGCAGGGAGAAGGTAAGGGGTCAGAATTGATGTTTGTTGAGTGCCCAAGATGTGCCAGACATGTGAAGTGTTACCTTGTATTATACAGCTGCACTGACTGAAGAAGAGGGTTGTAGTACTTTCAGATGAGGAGACTGGGACTGAGACTTGAAGGAACTTGACAGAATTTATATAACCTTAGTGTGTTAACTTCATCTGACTGAAAGTTCTGTGCTTATTTCTTGAAACACATGCCTTTTTGTGAAATCCTTATACCTTCCTGTGTCTCTAGTTTCTGATGCACTGTTTTACCCTTAGTAAGTAGTCAAAAGGTGGTTGGCAGTGATGGTGATGAAAGGATGTGTTTATTTTTGGGGGACAGGGACAATGAACTGAGAATTGATATGATTGTGTTGTTGCAGGAATACTTGGTGGCTGGAGCAGATATCATCGAAACAAATACTTTTAGTAGCACTAGTATTGCCCAGGCTGACTATGGCCTTGAACACTTGGTAAGAACTTCACTTTTTCTCCCATTTGAGAAGCTTATGAGCTTTTGCTGTGTTGGTAGTTGCTAGTAAGAAAACCATTTGAAGCTACAGGATGAAGCTAATGGCTTGTTTCTGTTGTTTGTGGTGATACATGCAAAATAGTTTGAAACTTTTCTGCTTATGAGCAAAGCAACCCATTCATTTTCCAAATGGTTTCTTTTATGAACAAGTAATAATCAAATACAAATGATGCTTGTTTTGCAGTTGCCTTTGGTAAAGTCATAATCATTGTGTGCACCTGTAGATAATATGTAGATAAATGGTTATGACTGCATTCCAGAAAAACTTTATTTATAAAAATAGGGCCTGGATTGCCCATGAGCCATACTTTGCCAACCACACTTAGGATATTATGGTTTCTTAATTATCTGATATGAGGATCCAAGGCACATGGATCTTAAGAGTTGAAAGAGATCATGAAGTTCACAAACCTGGCATGTGGAAGGGCTCTTGAAGAGACCCAGACCTCCTTAACTTCCAGGCCACACTGTGTATGTGCTTATTTCCCCAAAGATGGTTCATGGTTCTTTATCAAATTCTATTTTTAAAAAAATATTTTTTAGTTGTCAATGGACCTTTGTTTTTTTTAAATGTATTTATATGTGGTGCTAAGAATCGAACCCAGTGCCTCACACATGCTAGGCAAGCACTCTACCATTGAGCCACAATCCCAGACCCCTTTATCAAATTCTTAAGAGGCTAATAATCTGCAGAAAGTTTAGAACTACTCATTCAGCCATTTTACAGTGAAGGAAATCAGGACCAGGGAAAGTTGCTATGGGATTGTCTGGCCAGGCAGTGACAGAGCTAGACCTAGAATCTAGGTCTAAGCCTGTGTTTTCCCCATTACTGTTTTTCGTAATTTGCAGAATATATAACTATACCAGTTATTCTGTGGCATGCCAGGTGTCCAGTGTGTTTTTTTTTTTTTTTTTTTTTTTTTTTACCAGCTGGCTTAGGAGAAGTTCCTTTTAGAAGAAGTTCCCAAGGACTTGCCATTCCCTACTATCTTTTGAGGCTAGGGTAACTGATAGATCTTCTTGGTTAAGTTTTCACTTTGATCTCACATTAATTCACTTTACGTTTCTTTTCTGAATACAACTAGGTATTAGATGGCTATATAGATGCTTTATTTATTGCATGGAGGAAAAGCAGGACAAACTAACATTAGTGGTTGATATATTAGGCTTACCGGATGAACAAGTGCTCTGCAGGTGTGGCCAGAAAAGCTGCTGAAGAGATAACTCGACAGACAGGTAAAGGATGCTCTCCTTTCTTTCTTGCACAATGATTGCTTCAGTGTTCTTGGCTATAATGTGGTGTTCTTACTGCAGTTTTCCTTACATGACCTTTGGCCTATGAGCAATTGTAGATACTGTATTTTAATTTGTTTGTAGGTTGCTTCTCTGCAGTTTCATAATGAAGTATTCATCATCTCTGCTGTCATGCTATTTCTGTGGGCCTTGGACTCGTTTTTTTTTTAAACCCTGCCATTGTTTATAGTCTGACTTTGTAGCTAGGCCCATTATTTTCCTGTGAAAGAGCTATAATCCTGTTTCTCCCTGTGGAATCCCCTCATCAGGTTCTTAAAGGTTTAGCTGGCTTATTTGATTATTTTTGTTATCATTAGGACATTTGATGTCATCACTGTAAAGCCACCCTGCTCCCAGGCTGGCTTATTTAAGCAAAGGGGATGCCTTTGGAGCATTTTCCACTTTATCCTACTAATGGACCTTGAAGGCACTGCAGCACACAGAAGAGGGCTTAGATTTAGTCTTACTGAGACTTGAAAAGTGTTCTGAAATAACTAACCTCCTATAGGTTGCCCTCAGAACATTGGTGGGAGAATTTTGAGAGAGAGATGGAATAGAGGAAATAAATCGAGCCCTTTAGGAGTTGGAAATGTGAAGTTATTGCCAATAGAAAATATATAATGCAGAATTGTTAGGAAGTTAGGCAAGCATATTAATGAAAACCAAATCAGCTTAATGGGAACTCTGTTTCTGAGAGATAAAGTTTAAATCCACAGTAACGTATGGACAGGTCAGAGGATACTGAACCAGCTGAAGCAGGGAGAGATAAGGACATTTTTCTTATACTGTATTATTGCTAAGCTTTGCAGAAGATAATATTTGGGCCTGTAGCCTGCTCACAAGCTGGGTTATTAACTAGTTGTAGTCTTCTCCAGTTTAGTCCTACAGCACAGCCCAGGTCATTGAGTGGCTACAGTCACCAGAGGCAGTGAGTGGTGTGATATGCAGATGAGAACAATATCTCCATGTGGCCCAGAGGCAGGGTTATTAAAGAATTGTTAAAGCAATATTAAATATCCTTCATACCTGAATTTCAAGTTTTATAATTATTAATTTTTACTTAAACATTTCAGGTTAAGATCAGGATCTTCAAGATTTCTTTTTTATTATATTTATTTATTTATTTAGTTGTTGATGGATCTTTATTTACTTATATGCAGTGCTGAGAATCAAACCCAGTGCTTCACACATGCTAAGCAAGTGTTCTACCAGTGAGTTGCAACTTCAGCCTCTCTTCAAGGTTTCTTAAGAATGGGGAGACAATTTGTCCAAACATAGCGAGATGGTAGGAAAGGATTACTTATAGAAAGACTTGGAGGTTGCATGTGTGAGGATTTAGTTGTTTTGATTGGCTTGGTGAGAATATTTAAATATCCCCTGTAGTCCATGATTTTCCCAGGGAGTCTGGGGCAACCCCCATAACCAAACATGTATTAGCAGAATCTGTGAACAAGTGCACTAAAAGGCAAAAAGACTCTAAACAGCTGTTTATTACTTCAGTAGAAGGCAGGTTTGTTGTCAATTAAGAAAAAAAAATTTGGGCTTTGAGAGCTTTTTAGATTTTGAGTTGTGGGCAAAGCCCTGAGTTCAACGAGAAGTCTTATAGCCTATTAGTTTACAACAAAAAGATTTGAGTTGTTAGAGAATTTATTCTTGTTTTTCTTTTCCCAAAGGAATCAAGAGGTTTGTTGCAGGAGCTCTGGGCCCAACTAATAAGACACTCTCTGTGTCTCCATCTGTGGAAAGACCAGATTTTAGGAACATCAGTGAGTATTTATGACACATAATCAGGGACCTTGGGAAAGTACCCTTGTGCTTTTGTAATCTGTAAAGTGGGGACAGTAACAGGATTTACTTCAGGGATATTGTGATTTCATCTATGAAAAGGGCTTACAGTATAGTGTTTTGAAATATGGTGGATATCTAAATAAAAAGTTAATTGCTCTTATTATTTGAGCTTGCTCTCAGATGTATATGGTGATTTGTTAGTTGTTCTTTATCATCTATTGAAACAAAACCAATTGTAAGAAAGTTTCAAAGTGAAAAGTTGAGCACATCTGAATACCAGCTCTTAGTATATTATAAAAGACCCAGTATATTGCCATTTAATTTAGTAATACAAAGTATCTAAATGTACTAGTATTAAAAAATTAAAAACTAGTATATGTAAATGTACTTTATTCTGATTTGACCCGAAACTCAGGAATCTAAGTCAGTGTCTAAGCATCAAGACTACAAAAAACAAAAAGAATTAAACTTTTCAGGCTGAATACTAACAATACCATATATGGTAATGCATTTTGTATAGATGACAATTTCACACAATTACAGTTTGTTGGTTTTTGTTACAGCACTTTGCATGTCGTGATACTGCACTATGTATATGTGATTGATGGTCTCTCTGGTCTAGATAGGACAGTGGGGAACTAACCTCTCCTCCTGTGCTGTGTAAGGTCAGGTATACTTAAAGTGAGCATAACTTTGCTACTTAAGCTTCTCTCATAGAACACCTAAGTACTTTTTTCAGTTTTGGTTGGGAGATAAAATGGGGAGAGGGATAACTACCTCTCAGGTGAATATAGACAGCACAGTACATTTCTAGCAAATATTTTACCTGGGAGTAAAATTTTGTTTGAGATCAAGATTGCCCATCAGAGAGGTTGCCTCTCTGAAAGAGTTGATCTAAAAGGATTGAGTGAAAATCACAGGAGTGTAGCCTTTTACCCCAGAGTGTGAGACTTCAAGACAACTTGTGTTGTATCCAGATTATGTTTCTTACCCTCCAGAGATCTCTCTTAATTGATTGATTAGAATGATTTTTTAGGGTTGGACATGGTGGTGCATGTCTGTAATCCTGGTGGTTCCAGAGGCTGAGGGAGGAGGATCTAAAGTTAGAAGGCAGCCTCAGCAACTTAGTGAGGCCCTGTCTCAAAATAAAAAATGAGAAGGGCTAGGGATGTGGTTCATTGGTTAAGTGCCCCTGGGTTCAATACCTGAGACCCCCCCCCCAAAAAAAAGTCTTTGAGAAAAATGTATTTTAAAGAGTTGAGAATAAAGTACATAGTTTAGGAAATTGACACACCTTCCTACTCACTCCTAACTTATCCATGGGAAGGAGGTCATGTGGAAAGTATTCAGAAACAGGTGTGTGTGTTCAGTTTGTTTGTTTTCCTTCTGTCACTGCCATATTTCTTTTTAAATTTTCTTTTTTCTATCACTGTGTTATTTCTGTATTTGGTTTCTTATAGACATTGTGTTTTAGCCGGCCGTGATGGCACTCATCTATGATTCCATCAACTCCAGAGGCTGAGGCAGGAGGATCACAAGTTTGAGGCTATCCTTGGTAACTTATTGAGATCCTGTCTCAAAAACAAACAAACAAACAAACAAAAAACGAATGGGATGTAGGTCAGTGGTCAAGCATCCCTGGGTTCAATACCAAGTACTGAGGGAAAAAAAGTTTGTTGTTTTCAGTGGATGCATTATAAGCCAGCAGTGGGTTCAGTGTGCTAGCCCTAAAGTCACCTTACCTGAGTGCAGTTCAGAGGATGTTGGTGACTGATATGATGGGTGTGACTTATTTTTTTGCAGCGTTTGATGAGCTTGTTGAAGCATACCAAGAGCAGGCCAGAGGACTTCTGGATGGTGGAGTTGATATCTTACTCATTGAAACTATTTTTGATACTGCTAATGCCAAGGTGAGTTAAGGTAGAAAAAGAGACAAGGTGTGGGTAGAGGGTGTGATGAATCTCTCTCTCTCTCTCTTTTTTTTTTTTTAGGTGGACACACTATCTTTATTTTACATTTATGTGGTGCTGAGGATCGAACCCAGTGCCTCGTGCGTGCTAGGCAAGCTCGCTACCACTGAGCCACAACCCCAACCCCATGATGAATCTCTTAATGTAGTAAGAAGATAATGGCCATTACAATTTCAAAAGAACAGTTTTTAGCATTTAAAATGTTTTTCTCATTATGAAAATTTTTTAATATATTTTATTTTTTTTAATACCTTTATTTTATTTATTTATTTATTTTTTATGTGGCTTCACATATGCTACTTGAGCACTCTACTACTGAGCCACAATCCCAGCCCTCATTATGAAAATATTTGCATACATAATTGCTATGTGTGCATATATGCATATGTGATGTTTGCATGCTCATGATTGTGAATTCAAAAGGTGTATAAATACATGGGATGAAAAGTAGATATTCTCCCTTCTAGTCCTGGGTATCTAGATTTCCTCCTGGAAATAGCTGCTATTACCAGTTTGGGGGTCTTGACAGAATTTCTATACAGATATAAGCATGCATGTATGTGTGTGTGCGTTTATGTTTTGTTTCTTACATATGTATAACACATAATTGTATAGAGTGCAAAGTAAATGTCCTTATATGTATGTGTTTGCACACATAGCAATTATGTATGCAAATGGGCTTATATCATCAGTACTGTTTTGTCTCAGCAGTGAACCAGCCCGTAGTAGAACCATAATTTTAGCTTGAGAATTCCAATCAGTTTTCTCTTTTTTTAAATTAATTTTTAAAATTTATATATGACAGCAGAATACATTACAATTCATATTACACATATAGAGCACAATTTTTCATATCTCTGGTTCAATCCCCGGCTCTGGTTCAATCCCCGGCACCAAAGTATACAAAGTATATTCACAACAAATTGTGTCTTCATACATGTACTTTGGATAATAATGTCCATCACATTCCACCACATTCCCATGCTCCCTTCCTTCTCCTCCCATCTCTCTGCCCTATCTAGAATTCATCTAATCCTCCCATGTTCCCCTTTCCTATCCCACTATGAATCAGCCTCCTTATATCAGAAAAAACATTTGGCATTTATTTTTTTGGGATTGGCTGACTTTTTAGCATTATCTTCTCTAACTCCATCCATTTACCTGCAAATGCCATGATTTTATTCTCTTTTATTGCTGAGTAATATTCCATTGTGTATATATGCCACATTTTTTTTTTTTATCCATTCATCTATTGAAGAGCATCTAGGTTGGTTCCACAGTTTAGCTATTGTGAATTGTGCTGCTATAAACATTGATGTGGCTGTGTCCCTGTAGTATGCTGTTTTATTTAAGTCCTTTGGGTATAGACTGAGGAAAGGGATAGATGGGTCAAATGGTGGTTCCATTTCCAATTTTCCAAGGAATCTCCTTACTGCTTTCCAAATTGGCTGCACTAGTTTGCAGTGCAATATATGAGTGTATCTTTTTCCCCACATCCTCACGGACACTTATTGTTGTTTGTATTCTTAATAGCTGCCATTCTGACTGGAGTGAGATGAGATCTTAGAGTGGTTTTGATTTGCATTTCTGTAATTGCTGGCAGTGATGAACATTTTTCACATATTTGTTGATGGATTGTGTATCATCTTCTGAGAAGTTTCTGTTCAGGTCCTTAGCCCATTTATTGATTGGGTTATTTGTGTTTTTGGTGCTTAGCTTTTTGAATTCTTTAAATACTCTAGAGATTAGTGCTCTATCTGATGTGTAAGGGGTAAGATTTGCTCTCCAGATGTAGGTTCTCTATTCACCTCACAGATGTTTCTTTTGCTGAGAAGAAACTTTTTAGTTTGAATCCGTCCCATTTATTGATTCTTTTTTTTTTTTTTTTAAAGAGAGAGAAAAGAGAGAGAGAGGGGTTTTTAGTATTTATTTTTCAGTTTTCGGTGGACACAACAGCTTTATTTTATTTTTATGTGGTGCTGAGGATTGAACCCAGCGCCCCGCGCATGCCAGGCTAGCGCGTTACCCCTTGAGCCACATCCCCAGCCCCTCAATTTATTGATTCTTGATTTTAATTCTTGCACCAAAGGAGTCTTATTAAGGAAGTTGGGGCCTAATTCCACATGATGGAGATTAGGGCCTACTTTTTCTTCTGTTAGACGCAGGTTCTCTGGTTTTATTCCTAGGTCCTTGATCCATTTTGAGTTGAGTTTTGTGCATGGGAAGAGATAGGGGTTTAATTTCATTTTGTTGCATATGGATTTCCAGTTTTCCCAGCACCATTTGTTGAAGAGTCTTATCTTTTCTCCAATGCATATTTTTGGCACCTTTGTCTAAATAAGATAATTATAATTTTGTGGGTTAGTCTCTGAGTCCTCTAATGTGTACCATTGTTTTGGTGCCAATACCATGCTGTTTTCATTACTATTGCTCTGTAGTATAGTTTATAGATCTGGTATAGTGATGCCACCTGCTTCACTCTTCCTGCTAAGGATAGCTTTAGCTATTCTAGGGCTTTTATTTTTCCAGATGAATTTCATGTTGCTTTTTCTATTTCTATGAGGAATGTCATTGGGATTTTGATCGGAATTGCATTAAATCTGTGTAGTGCTTTTGGTAGTATGGTCATTTTGATAATATTAATTCTGCCTATTCAAGAGCAAGGTAGCTCTTTTCATGTTCTAAGGTCGTCTTTGATTTCTTTCTTTAGGCTTCTGTAATTTTTATTATATAGATCTTTCACATCTTTCATTAAGTTGATTCCCAAGTATTTTATTTTATTTTTTGAGGATATTGTAAATGGGGTAGTTTTCCTCATTTCCCTTTTTGAGGATTTGTCACTGATATACAGAAGTGCATTTGATTTATGGATGTTGATTTATAAATGATCATAGATACAGAGGAAATGCTCCACTATCTAATTGTTAAGTAGAGATACTTAAATGCTTTATTTTAATTTTTTTTGGTACCCGGGATTAAACCTAGGTGTGCTCAACCACTGAGCTGTATCCCCAGCCCTTTATGTTTTTTATTTTTGAGACAGGGTCTCACTAAGTTGCTAAGGCTGGTCTTGAACTTGTCTCAGCCTCCAAGGTTGCTGGGATTACAGGTATGTGCCACTGTGTCTGGCACCATATCACATTTTCCCCCCACATTTTAAAAAATTTATTATTTAATTATTTTATTAAGAAGTTGTTGAACACGATACCTTTATTTTATTTATTCTTATGTAGTGCTGAGGATTGAACCCGGGCCTTGCACATGCTAGGCGAGCGCTCTACTGCTGAGCCACAACCCCAGCCCCTCCCTTACATTATTTTATTGGTGTATTATAGTACATATTGATGAGCTTTGTTGTTACGTATCTGTACATTCACACTAGGTAATAATCACTAATATCAGCTAATATCACTCCCCAGCATTACCCCGTCCCACTTTCTACCCTTTGATCCCTTCCTCTATTGATGTTTCTTTGATTTTTAGGAGATTCATCCCTGCCTTTCTTTTCCTTTTTCTTCTGTATCTTCTGTGTGAGAGAATACATTCTACTGTTAACCTTTTAAGTTTGACATATTTTGCTTAACATGATGGTCTCTAGTTCCATCCATTTTTCTGCAAATGACATAATTTTATTCTTTATGGCTGAGTAAAACTCCACATTTTCTTTATCCATTCATACATTGATGGATACCTTGGCAGCTTCCATAGTTTGTTTATTGTGAATTGTGTTGCTATAAGCATGGGATGCTTGTATCACTGTAGTAAGGTGACTTTAATTTTTCAGGATAAATATCAAGAAGTGGTATAGCTGGGTCATATGGTGTTCCCATGCCTAGTCTATTGAGGAGGCTCCATACTGATTTTCATAGTGTTGTACTAATTTACAGTCCCACCAACAGTATAAAAGTGCTCCTTTTTCTTCATATCCTCTCCAGCATTTATTAATATTTGTATTCTCTATGACTGCCATTCTGACTAGTGTGAGATGAAATCTCAGTGTCATTTTGATTTGTGGCATACTTTTGATTATAGAGGTTTTTCTTATGATGCCTCTGGAATTTATTTTGGAGTAAGAAATAGGATTGAGATCTTTTTTTTTTTTTTTTTTTAAACTAAGGTTACCTGTTTTTCGTAACACTATTTATTAAACATCTTATTGTTTCCCAGTAATAGGAATGATGTGGAATGTCACTCTTACCCCAAATTCCCAAGTTAATTTGGGTTTAGTTTTTTTCAGAAATCCGTCTGCTGATGTGACAGTACCACACTGTTTATCATAGCATCAGAATATGTCTCAGTGGGCTTAGTTTCTTTTCATTAACCCCACCTTTTTTACAGAACTTTTCTCATGCTTGTTTTCCATAAGATTTTTTAAATTGATTTTTCTAATTGTAAAGAGGAAACTTAAATATTGTGATTTAATAACTTTCCATGAAAAAAAAAAAAACACTATCATAGGGAGGGTGCACATTAACTACAGGTTACATTCTAATTTCAGAAATTAATTGTGAAAATGTGTACATCTTTGATTCAGGAATTATAGAAAGAAAGGACAGATCAATTGTTGGCAACTTAAAATATGGACTGACAAGTACAGGGTAACATTGGATTCATAGCTTTATAACCCAGTCCAAGCTCGCCACAAAAAAAACATGTTTTTTTTTCACTGAAGCACACTGGGTCCAGAAAGAGGCCCTGTGGTTGGGCATTATAAGGTAGGTACTTTTCGTTTCCCCAGAGAGTTCTGAATGTGTCACATCTGAAGAGGCCTTGGGATAGGGTGTCATCTTATCAGGCAGTCAGACTGACCTTGGGTACATTATTCTCCTGGCAGTAAAGATGTTTTTTCTTTTACCCCTGACAGGCAGCCTTGTTTGCACTCCAGAAACTTTTTGAAGAGAATTATGCTCCCCGGCCTATCTTTGTAAGTTCCAAAATATTTTGCATGACATATTCTTGTCTTTTGTTAATAATTGTCATTTTGAATATAACCTCTAGCCCCCTTCCCTCCCCAAAATAGAATGATTGACGTTATCTTTTGGAAACCATTTAGTTTAACTTCTTCTGTTCACCTCCCTTCTACACTACCAACTCATTGCAGGTGGGTGGCTCACAAGAAGCCCCCTTAAAGCCAAAGGCTTAAAGACCCAGTCTCATTAGGGCCAAGGAGGGATGGGCTTGCATGCTGAATGCCAAGTACCCAGCACTGACGATGTTAGACCCCAAGGCGTTAACTCAAGGCAGGCCTCTGAGAGACCTGCTCGGTAAGCATATGACAGAATCAAAGCAAGGGTGTTAGATAAATCAGGTATTTAACAGCAGAAGGCTGGGATAACCTGATAACTCCTCCAACAAATCTGACATGGATGTGTGATATATTTTTTTTCTTTTTTTTCCTAATACTGGGATTAAACTGAGAGCCCCATAAGTGCTAAGCAAATACTTTGCCACTGAACTGTACTCCCAGTCCTGCTTTTTTTTCTCAGGCCATTTTTTAGTTCATTCTGCTGCTGAACTAAATCCCCAAACCAACGCCCCACCCTTTTTTAAAAATTTTTGAGACAGGGTCTCACTGACTTGCCCAGACTGGTCTTGAACTTTTAATCCTGCCTCAACCTCCCAAGCAACTGGAATTAACACTCCCAGGTGGATATGTGATGACTTCTACTGTTGGGGCATTGAGTTTTGCCTCATTGACTTTCCCTTTTCTGTTTCTGTGGCTTTCTGCCTCCTCCCCTGGCCACTTGGTATATATCCGTTCTGATCCTTCTGGAAAGTGCTGAATTTGAATTTCACATTTCTCTTCCTAGTAAAAGAATAAGGAATACCGGTCTATTCATTTTATTTTGTTTTTGGAATTATATTCTTTACCTGAATCTATACTGTTGACTTTGTTTCCTTTGTTAATTCAGATTTCAGGGACAATTGTTGATAAAAGTGGACGGACTCTTTCTGGACAGACCGGAGAGGCATTTGTCATCAGTGTGTCTCATGCAGACCCACTCTGGTGAGTGACTCCCTTCCTTGACTCCTTTCTTCTTTGGCAGATCTTTTCTAATAGTTACACATATGATCTGAGTGGGGATTACTTCCCCATAATTCCCTTGTACTACTTCTGAGATGTGTTGACTGTCCTTAGATACTTTCAGACTGTTTCTCAAGGGCTTCAGAACTGCCAAAATGAGTCACTTGAGGGACTGGGAAAGCTGTCCTACCTCTAGGCAGCCAAATGCCTTTTGTCTGTAGGTACCCCCTTGTAGTTAAGACTGTGCTTGGCTAGGTAACACTTTTATCGGTCAGTTACATTTTTGAGGCAATGCTTTGCAAATTTAAGGGTAATATTCTTTCCCTATTTATGGGGCAATCAGAAGAATCCTAACTTGAAGTAAGGTGGAAAGCTCAGGTTTTTATCTTTTATCAATCTTATAGACTGAAGGGGTATTTAGAAGGCAGCCTTCAGTGTGAAAAAGTTCATATGTAAGGAACTATTACTCACTGACTCATGGTTATCACAGACTACCTATTAACAAAGAATAAGCAGACAGAACCTTGTATTACTAATACAGCACTTATTGAAATCCTTCTGTGTGCCTTGAGTGTTGGCATATGTGAAGTAGTCCACACTTGGAGAAATAAATTTTGTAAGTTGAAAGATAAAATACAAAGCACTGTACAAAAATGTGAAAAAAATCTTGCTATATATAGAGAGATGGCTCTGTAGAGAAGGTGTTATTTGAGCTATGTTGGAAAAAAAAATAAGAGTTTGCTAAGCACAGAGGAGCAAGATAGATCATCAGAATAAGTTCATGTCAGTTTTGTAGATGTATAGTCTACAAAATGTTTCTATATATGATGTTTCATTTGAATTTCAACGTAACTCTGAAAACTTGAGTTTCTTATTCTTAGTTGATGGAATTATTCCTATCATTCAACAGATGAAGAACTGACTGTTGAATAGACAAACTTGAGCTGGGTGCAGTGGTATCTGCCTGTAATTCTAGCTACTTGGAAGGTCAGAGTAAGAAGATCACAAGTTCAAGCCCAGCCTGGGAAATTTAGCAAGATCCTATCTCAAAATAAAATATAAAAAGGGCTAGGGATTTAGTTCAGTTGTAGAGCATTTGTCTAGCATGCATAAGGCCTTGGGTTCAATTCCTGGTACCAAAAAAAAAAAAAAAAGTTAGGTTTGGAATTAAGTTTGGGAAAAAGTCAAACATACATTCTAATGATAACAGTGCTTAAATATATATGTGTACACACACACACACACACACACATTTTGCTTTTTACCTGGTGTTGAATCCAGGTGATAGTGATGTAAGATGAAAGGAAAAGTTAAATTACCAAATGGAACTGGTAAAATAGCTAAACTGAATAGGTCTGTTCAAGGGTTGTTAGTCATGCATGAAACTTAGCAATTTTTTTTTTATTTTTTATTTTTGGACTGGGATTGAATTCAGGGATGTTCTACCATTAAGCTTAACCCCCAGTCCTTTTTTTTTTTTTTAATTTTTTGAGACATGGTCTCACTCAGTTGCTGATGCTGGCCTCCAACTTGTGATCCTTTTGCTTCAACCTTCTGAGTCACTGGGATTATAGGTGTGTACCCTCATACCTGGCTGAACCTAGCAATTGAAAATTTTAGCAGAAAAGTACAGAAAGCCCTCATATACTCCCTCCCAGGCTCTTGAAAACCCCCAGTGTTCTGTTATTAACATCTTACTTGGTACAGTATAGTATATTAAGATATGAACCAATATTAACTGAAGGCCATAGTCTATATTAGAGTTCATTCTTGGTGTTTACATGCTATGAATTTTTTTTTTTCATTTTGACTGCATTTTTTTTGGGGGAATATTCATTTTTCCCCCTTTTTATTGGTGGATTATAATTATACATAACAGTGGGATTTGTTATATTCATACATATAAACAACAAAACATTATAATTGGATCAGTTTCACTCTCCAGGATCTCTCCTTTGCCTCCCCTCCCTCCCCCTTATCCCCTTCTATTCTACTGATCTCCCTTCTATTTTTTTAAAATTTGTTCTAATTACTTATATATGACAGTAGAATGTATTTTGACACATTGTACCCAAATGGAGCACAACTTCTCATTCCTATGGCTGTACATGGTGCAGAGTCACTCCAGTAGTGTAATCATACATGTTTATAGAGTAATAATGTCTGTCTCATTGTACTGTTTTTCCTATCCCTGTTGGATGGGAAAAGGCCCCACTCCTCTCCTCCTTCCCCTCTTCACAATTTAAAGCTCCTTCATTCTTCCCCACTATGGATAAGCATCCTCTTATCAGACAAAATATTTGGTCTTTTTTTTTTTTTTTTTAGATTGGCTTATTTCACTTGGCATGATGTTCTCTAGTTCCATTCATGTACCTGCAAATGCCATAATTTTATTCTTTAAGGCTGAGTAATATTCCATTGTATATATGTATCACATTTTCTTTATCTATTCATATGTTGAAGGGCATCTAGGTTGTTTCCATAGTTTAGCTGTTGTGAATTAGGCTGCTATAAACATTGATGTGGCTGTGTCACTGTAGTATGCTGATTTTTAAGTCCTTTGGGTATAAACCGAGGAGTGGGACAGCTAGGTCAAATGGTGGTTCCATTCCAAGTTTTCTGAGGAATCTCCACACTCCTTTCTACAGTATTTGCACCAATTTGTAGTCTCACCAGCAGTGTATGAGTGTACCTTTTTCCTCACATCCTCACCAACACTTATTATTGCTTGTATTCTTGATAATTGCCATTCTGACTGGAGTGAGATGAAATCTTAGAGTAGTTTTGATTTGTATTTTTCTAATTGCTAGAGATGATGAACATTTTTCCATGTATTTGTAGACCTATCATATTTCTTCTTCTGTGAAGTGTCTGTTCAGTTAGTTCTTTTGTCCATTTATTGATTGGGCTATTTGGGGGGTGTTTGGTGTTAAATGAGTTCTGGGTCCCTTATATTTCCAGGAGATTAGTGCTCTATCTGAGGTGCGTGTGGTAAAGATTTTTTTTCTCATTCTTTAGACTCTGTTTTCATGTTGTTGATTGTTTCCTTTCCTGAGAAGAAACTTTTTAGCTGGAATCAGTCCTATTTATTGATTCTTAATTTTACTTTTTGTGCTGTAAGAGTCCTGTTAAGGAAGTCAGGTATGAAGCCAACATGATGAAGACTTTGGCCTACTTTTTCTTCTGTTAAGCGTAAGTTCTCTGTTCTAGTGTTTTGGATTCATTTTGAGTTGATTTTTGTGCAGGGTGAGAGATAGAGGATTAATTTCATTTTGCTACATGTGGATTTCCATTTTCCCAGCACCATTGTTGAATAGACTGTCTTTTCTCCAATGTATGCTTTTGGCACCTTTGTCTAGTATGAGATAATTGTATTTATAGGTCTCTGTGTCTTTTATTTTGTACCATTGGTCTACGTGTCTACTTTGGTGTCAATACCATGCTGTTTTTGTTACTGTGGCTATGTAGTACCATTTAAGGTCTGGCATTGTGATGCCTCCTACTTCACTGTTTTTACTGAGGATTGCTTTGGCTATTCTGGGTCTCTTATTTTTCTGAATGAATTTCATGATTGCTTTTTCTAGTTCTATGAAGAATGTCATTGGGATTTTAATAGGAATTGCATTAATTCTGTATATCAGTTTTGGTAGTATGGCCATTTTGACAATGTTAATTCTGCCTATTCAAGAGCATAGGAGATTTTAAAAAAAAAATTTAGTTGTAGTTGGACACAATACCTTTATTTTATTTATTTTTATGTGGTGTTGAGGATTGAACTCAGTGCCTTACACCTGCTTGGTGAGCACTCTACTGCTGAGCCACAACCCCAGCCCCATGGGAGATCTTTCAATCTTCTAAGGTCTTCTTCAATTTCTTTCTTTAGTGTTCTGTAGTTCGCTGTAGAGGTCTTTCACCTCTCTTCTTAGATTGACTCCCAAGTATTTTATTTTATTTTATTTTTTTTGAGGCTATTGTGAATGGGATAGTTTTTTAAATTTCTTTTGTGGTGGATTATCACTTATGTATAGAAATGCATTTGATTTTATGGGTATTGATTTTTATTCCTGTTACTTTGCTGAGTTTATTTATTAGTCCTAGAGTGTTCTGGTAGAATTTTTGGGATCTTCTAAATATGGAGTCATGTTGTTAGCAAATAGTGATAGTGTGAGTTCTTTTTTTCCTATTTGTATCCCTTTAATTTCTTTTGTGTGCCTGATTGCTTTGGCTAGAGTTTCAAGGACTGTGTTGAATGGAAGTGGTAAAAGAGGGCATCCCTATCTTTTTCCAGTTTTTAGAGGGAATGCTTTCAGTTTTTTTCCATTTAGAATGGTATTGGCCTTAGGTTTAGCATAGATACCTTTTTCAATGTTGAGGTGTGTTCCTACTATCCCTAGTTTTTCTAGTGTTTGCACATGAAGAGGTGCTGTATTTTGTGAAATTCTTTCTCTGCATCTATTGAGATAATCATATGATTCTTGTCTTTAAGTCTTTTGATGTGATGTATTATGTTTATTGATTTCTGTATGTTAAACCAACCTTGCATCTCTGGGATGAACCCCACTTGATTATGATGCACATTTTTAAAAAATATTTTTTTAGTTGTCAATGGACCTTTACTTATTTATACATGATGCTGAGAATCGAACCCTTTGCCTCATACATGCTAGGCAAGTGCTTTTCTACTGAGTTGCAACCCCATCCTGCACTATCTTTTTAATATATTTTTGTATGTGATTTTCCAGAATTTTATTGAGAATTTTTGCTTCTATGTTTATCATGGATATTGGTCTGAAGTTTTCTTTCCTTGATGTGTCTTTGTCTGGTTTTGGTATCAGGGTGATACTAGCCTAATAGAATGAGTTTAGAAGGTTTCCCTCCTTTTCTATTTCAGACACTAATTTGAAGAGTATTGGTATTAGTTCTTCTTTGATGGTCTTGTAGAACTCAGTTAAGAATCTGTTTCTGGGCTTTTCTTTGTTGGT